TCTTCTTTATTATTTTTTCTTTTTTTTCCTTCCTCAGAAACTATGCAAGCAAGAAGAGAGTGGAGTGATATATTTAAAAAATTGAAAGCAAAAAGCCATCAATTTAGAAATTCTGTATCAACCAAAATTATCCTTAAAGAGTGAAGGAGAGGCTGGGCATGGTGGCTTATGCCTATAATCCTAGCACTCTGGGATGCTGCCGTAGGAGGAATGCTTGAGGCCTGGAGCTTGAGAACAGCCTGAGAGCAAGAGTGAGACCCCACCTCTACAAAAAATAGAAAAATTAGTGGCCGGGCGCGGTGGCTCACGCCTGTAATCCTAGCACTCTGAGAGGCCGAGGCGGGAGGATTGCTCGAGGTCAGGAGTTCAAAAACAGCCTGAGCAAGAGCGAGATCCCGTCTCTACTAAAAAATAGAAAGAAATTAATTGGCCAACTAATATATATAGAAAAAATTAGCCGGGCATAGTGGCACATGCCTGTAGTCCCAGCTGCTTGGGAGGCTGAGGCAGGAGGATCGCTTGAGCCCAGGAGTTTGAGGTTGCTGTGAGCTAGGCTGACTCCACGGCACTCACTCTAGCCTGGGCAACAAAGCGAGACTCTGTCTAAAAAAAAAAAAAAAAAAAAAAAATTAGTGAGGCATGGTGGAAGGAGGCTGAGGCAGGAGAATCACTTGAGCCAGGAGGTTAAGGTTGCAGTGATCATACCACTGCACTCTAGCCCAGGTGACAAAGCAAGACACTGTCTCAAAAAAAAAAAAAAAAAAAATACGGAAGGAAAGTCAGGCACAGTGACACTCACACTTGTAATCCTAGCACTGTGGAAGGGCGAAACAGAAGGATTGCTTGAGGCCAGCAGTTCAAGACGGACCTAGGCAACATAACGAGACACTGTCTCTACAAAAAAACAAACAAAACATTAGCCAGGCACAGTGCTGGGCACCTGTAGTACCAGCTGCTTGGAAGGCTGAGGCAGGAGGATCACTTGAGCCCAGGAGTTTGAGGCTGCTGTGAGCTGACACCAATGCACTCTAGCTCCAGTGACAAATCAAGACCCTGTCCTATACACACACGCCAAAAAAAGTGAAGGAGAACTAAAGATTTTCTCAAACAAAAATTAAGAGATTTTGTCACCAGTAGATCTGCCTTGCAAGAAATATTAAAAGAAATTCTTTAGAAAGAAGAAAAATAATGTAGGTCCGAAGAAAGGAAAAGCATTAAAGAAAGAATAAAAGAGGATGAAATAAAATCTTTAGCTGGCCTTGAACCCCTGGGCTCAAGTGATCCTCACCCTCCTGAGTAGATGGTACTATAAGCCCGTGCCACTGTGCCCAGCTAATTTTTGCTATTCTTAATTGAACTTTCAATTAAGTTAACAGATTGTTTAAAATAAGATATTAAGATAACAGGTTGTTCAAGATAATAATAGCAACAAACTATTTGGTGATTATAGCTTATAACTATTACAGCTTATAAATTAATGGATGATAGCAATGTTATAAGGGACATGAAGGAGGAACTGGGAACACTTTTGTATAAGGTGCTTACTTGCACTACCTGTGAAGTGATATAGTGTTACGTGAAAGAGAACCTGGGGGAAAAAAGAGGACTTAGATTAGTTGTAAATGTGTATTGTAAAATCAACGGCAATCACTAAAAAGAATTTTTTAAACAAGTAAAATGATGTGCTAAGAGCACTGTGCTAAGTAAAAATAAAACAGAAAAAAGGGACAAATATTGTATCGTTCCGCTTATGTGAGGTACACAGAAAGTGGAATAGTGGTTACCAGGAACTGGGGGAAGGAAGAAATGGAAAGTTATTGTTTAATGTGTACAGTTTCTGTTTGTGAGATTATAAAAAAAGTTCTGCTGGTGGTTGTATAGCATTGTGAATATACTTAGTGCCATTGGAACTGGATACTTAAAATTAAAATGATAAATTTTATGTATATTTTACTACAATAATTTTTTTTAATTTAGTAGTTGCAGAAAGGATTTCAGTATGCATACTTAATGTAGTCTACTTACCAATAATATTTTACCATTTCATGTGTTGTATAAAGATCTTAAACCATATACTCTGAAATGATCCCTACCATCATATGTGCTATTGTAGTTACATATGCTATAAATACACAATACATTTCTACCATTTTTCCTTCAAAGTTATCTTTTAGAGACATTAAAATTTTTAAAAAATGAACCTTATATCTACCTACTTTTATGCCATTTCCATCATTCTTTGTTGTTCTTTGTGTAGACCCAAGTTTCTGTCTGATATCAAATTCCTTCTGTCGTAAGAACTTCTATTAATATATTTTGCAGTGCTGGTCTCCTAGTAATAAATTTGCTTAATTTTTATTTTCCCTTAAAAAATAGTTTGTTTCTCCTTTATTTTCAGATGAATTTTTTTTAAAAAACAGATGAAATTTTTGCTGGATATGAAATTCTGGGTTGACAGAATTTTTCTTTCAACGCCTTAAAAATCTTACCCCACTGTATTCTGGGTTATATAATTTCTGAAAAGAATTTTGCTTGTAATTCTTATCTTTGTTCTTCTATCTATAAGGGAACTTTTTTCTTCTAACTGCTTTCAAGATTTTCTTTCTAGTTTTCCGTAGTTTGAACATGATGCATCTGGGTGAGTTTTGTTTGTTTGGTATTTATTGTTTGCATTCTCTGAGCTTCTTGGATCTGTGGTGTGATATCTTTCTTTCCTTTGGAAAATTATCTGCCATCATCTTGTCAAACATCTCTTTCTTATTCTCTCTTTCCTTCTGAGATTCCAATTACAAATACATTAGTCTTTTGATATTATCCCACAACCATTGGGTATTTCAGTTTTGTTTTGTTTTTTTCCTCTTTGTGTTTCAATCTGGGCAATTTCTACTGATCTATCTTCAAATTCACTGATCCTTTCCTCAGCTGTGTCAAGTTAACTGATGAGCCTGTCAAAGGTATTTAACTCTGTTATCACATTTTTCATATTTATTATTTCCATTTCATTTTTCCTAATAGTTTCCATCCCTGCTGCAATTCCTTTTCTGTTCATGCATGTTCTCCACCTATTCTGCTAGAGCCTTTAACCTATTAATCAGTTATTTAAAATCCTCTGATAGTTCCAACATCTGTCATATGAGTCTGGTTCTGCTGACTGCTTTATCTTTGACAGTTGGCTGTTTTTCTCTTGCTTCTTTATGGGCCCTATAATTTTTGGCTGAAAGCCATATATCATGTATAAAACAGCTGAGACTGAAGCAAATAGTATTTATGCCTGGAAATGGGCATCTTTCGTCTTTTCTTAGGCCTTTAGTTCGAGGGAAGAGGTTAATAAGCCAGCCAAGACAGGAGTGGAGCTGGGTTTCGGTTTTGTTGTTGCTATGGTTAGTCATAGTGCACCATAGGCTTCAAGTTCCTCTAGCGTTATATAACATTCAGAATGTAGGCTCATTTTCCAGAAGAGTTTTTTTCCTTAATGTCTGCACCCTCAGATTTAGGTTTTCTCTTTGTGACTGCACCTCAGAGACCATCTCTCCATGCTTCTGCCTCCCCTGCAATAGACTACTATTACCCAACACTTTCTAACTTGGTAGAGGGAGACAAACGGGGAGGGGCATTCTCTGAGATTCAGCCTTAGTCTTAGGGTCTGTGTCTCTGAGTCTTTAGGATTGGGAAGGTCTCAGTGATCCTACCTCTTCTTCAACTGTAAGGGATTACTATGCTCTAGCATGTATTCCTGTCCCTCTCCCAAGGACAGAGGGCTTTTTTCCTTCTGTTCTATTCCCTGGGGTGCAAGGGATCTTCACCTTTGCCCTGGAATTAATATAGTTTGTATTCCTTCACCTAAAACCTAAAGTTTTTGTTCTAGAGCATTGAGGTACAGCTTAGTGCCTTTCCCATAGTAGGTGCTACTCCTTGTACCAGAATGCACGAGGAAGGCTTTTTCACTCTGTTTCTTCCTCCCTGCAAATCTAATTTATCTCTAATTCCTTCTTCGACTCCGTTTTCCCTCCTTTCTGTGTTCTAAACTGGATTCTGGCCGGGCGCGGCGGCTCACAGGCTGTAATCATAGCACTCTGGGAGGCCAAGGTGGGCGGATTGCTCCAGGTCAGGAGTTCAAAACCAGCCTGAGCAAGAGCGAGACCCCGTCTCTACTATAAATAGAAAGAAATGAATTGGCCAAGTAATATATATAGAAAAAAATTAGCCAGGCATGGTGGTGCATGCCTGTAGTCCCAGCTACTTGGGAGGCTGAGGCAGGAGGATCACTTGAGCCCAGGAGTTTAATGTTGCTGTGAGCTAGGCTGACGCCACAGCACTCACTCTAGCCTAGGCAACAAGCGAGACTCTGTCTCAAAAAAAAAAAAAAGAAAGAAGAATTATATGTGTTTTAAGAGGAAGTTCAGGGTGGAACAGACTAAAAACTGGGTCTAAGAAAAAAGAATTAAAAACTAGGTGGAGATAGAACGTATTAATAAAATTTGGAATATTTGCTTACTAAAATTATCATATAGGGCCAATATGTTGTCCATTGATAAAGCATTAACCTGGGTTGTTAAGGCATTAAACAGGGCTGCAGAAGCCGCTAATATGACCCAATGTATGACATCCTTATGTTTCTGCTCAATATGAGGGGAGGTAAATATTGTTATTAAAATCACTTTCAATGAGCAAACCAATAAATGCAACAAAGTAAATGTAATAAAGTACAAGAAAATAAATAATTTATGTGAAGTTTTCTTGACAAAAATAAAAGAATATTCATAAAGGGTCAAAAAGACAAGTCCTGCTTTGAGTAGCAGAAAACATACAAAACTGAAAAGAATTTAAGAATATATCAAGTTTTATTAATCAGGTTGGTAGGAGGAAGGAAAAGGAAAAAGCTCTTAAATTCATTCAAGTGCCCCAACTTATTAATAAAATAATTTTAAATTCTCTAATGAAGGTTCATTGATTCAAAAGAAAGGGATATAACCAGTAAAGCAAGAACAGTCATTGCTTACATGTTTAAAAGACCCATAGGGAACTGCTGTGGATCCTGTCTCTTCTAGGTAATCTTCCCAGCTTAATTCCACTTCTTCTACACCAGAGCCAGCATCTGCAATTAAAAACAAAACAAGACAGAAAGAGGTGAATCCCAATTAAACTCAAGGTATAAACATAAACTTAGTAAATCTAACTTACAGAATTTACTTCACAGCAAGTTAAATTGATTTTGTACAAAAGAATTAAGTTTTAAAAAAAATGACAGGTTCCCTAAGTGTACTGATTATCAATGAATCTCAACAGAACAGTAGCTTAACATGCTGTGTCTCTTGCTGAAAAGGTACCCAAATCTGGAGTTCACCCAAATGGATCAAACAAAGCAGCGGGAGTATAAACTATTACAATCACTTTGGACTGAAATTTAGTATTTAATGTCAAACATTTTAGATACTCAGTAGCATTTCAAACTTGAATTTTCAACTTGATTCTAAGTATTCTCCAATTGAGTAAAAGATACTATTAGTCAATATTCTAGTTCAATTCAAAAAATGTATCATTATCCTTGCTTCGCTTGCTCTGTTTTACACCTTATATCCAATCCATAAAAGAATTCTGTAAGCACTATCTTTAAAACATACCCCAAGTCTACTTACTTCCCACCATATCTACTGCTAGTGTCTAAGGCCTAATCACAGTATCTTTCACCTTTCAATTACACTTAAATAAAATCTAAAATCTATGAGAGACTACAAAGGCCCTACATGACTTGACCCCTGGCTACCTACCCTTCCACTTTATCCCTAACCAGACTCTCACTGCTCACCACAATGAGTTTCTTGTCAAATTCTTCTTTAGTTACGCTTTTTCCACAAAGCCTTTGCATTTGCTATTCCCTTAGCTCAAAAATTCACCTCCCAGAATGGATCATTTCACTCAAGTCTCTATTCAAATGTTGCTTGTTCAGAAACGCCTTCCATCAGTACCCATCTAAATGGTGCTCTGCTTCCATTTTCTTCATAGCATTCATTCCTACTTGACAGTGTACCATATGTCTTTTAATCTTCCCTATTAGTTCATAAGCTCCAAGATGACAGAACTTTTGTTTTGGTCACTCCTATATCTCTATCACCTAGACTCTTAAAATACCTGGTAAACAGTAGACATTTAATAAATACTTGTTGAGTGAGCAAAGATTCAAGTACTCCATAATCCAATAACCCCACTTCACATAAACTCCCTAAGAGCAGGGATGGGGGGATATTGTTCACTATTATATCCCTCTGTCCAGAACAATGCTTGGCACATAGCAAGTTCTCAATAAACAGTTGTTGAATGAGTACACCCTAGAGGAACCCATGCTTCACGTGAACACAAAGAGGCAAATATAAGGATGTTCACCAGAGCACTGTTTGTAACAGCAACAGACTGGAAGCCATTAGTAGGAGAATAGAGCAATTATGCTAATCTTTCAATGGAATGTAGTTGAAATGAATGAGCTAGTTAGTACTGACATTAATAAGTCTCAAAAAAACACATCAAGCAGAAAAGGCAAGTACAGAATGAACAGCACAGCTAGATACAATTCAGACTTCAAAACAAAACTTGCAAGAATGTTTATGAATACATGCATATTAATAATAAGAGTATGAAAAGAAAGATGGAAAGAATATACATTAACTTCAACAATGTTATCTTTGAGGATAGGGAGAAGAAAACAGGATTAGAAAGGAAGTATAAAAGAAGCTTAAACTGTATTCTGTTTTATTTTCTTTTAAAAATGGAAACATGTGAAAAGGTGTTCAACATTACTAATCATTGGGGAAATGTAAATCAAAATTACAATAAAATACCACTTCATACACATTAGGATGACTACTATTAAAAAAGCAGAAAATAACAAGTGCTGGTGAGGATGTGGAGAAATTGGAACTCTTGTGCACTGCTTGCTGGTGGGAAAGCAAAATGGTTCAGTCACTGTGGGAAACTATATATCTTCCTCAAAATACCTTTTTAAATTAGCATATGATGCACTAATTGCACTTTTGTATATATGCCCAAAAGAATTGAAAGCAAAGACTCAAACAGGTTATTTGTACACAAGTGTCCTTAGAAGCAATATTCACAGCAGCCAAAAGATAGAAGCAATCCAAGTGTTCATCAACAAAGGAACAGAAGGCCGGGCGCTGTGGCTCACGCCTGTAATCCTAGCTCTTGGGAGGCCGAGGCGGGCGGATTGCTCAAGGTCAGGAGTTCAAAACCAGCCTGAGCAAGAGCAAGACCCGGTCTCTACTATAAATAGAAATAAATTAATTGGCCAACTGATATATATAAAAAAAAAAAATTAGCCGGGCATGGTGGCGCATGCCTGTAGTCCCAGCTACTCGGGAGGCTGAGGCAGAAGGATCACTCGAGCCCAGGAGTTTGAGGTTGCTGTGAGCTAGGCTGACGCCACGGCACTCACTCTAGCCTGGACAACAAGCGAGACTTTGTCTCAAAAAAAAAAAAAAAAAAAAAAGAACAGAAGAGCAAAATATGATACATATAATATATACAATGGAATATTATTGAGCCTTAAAAAGGAAGGAAATTCTGTCACATGTACAACATAGATGAACTCTAAAGACATTATGCTAAGTGAAATAAGCCAGTCACAGAGTAAGATTGCATTGACATAAGGCACCCAGAGTAGCCAAATCCACAGAGACAGAAAGAAGAATGGCGGTTGCCAGGAACTAAGGAAAGTGGGAATGGTGAGTTATTGTTTAATGAGTACAGAGTTTCAGTTTGGAAACATAAAGTTCTGAAGATGGATGGTGGTGATGACTGCACAACAATGTGAATGTATTTAATGCCAATGAACTGCACACTTAATAGCTACTGCACTCCATCCTGGACAACATAGTGAGATCTGATCTCTTTAAAAATAAAAAATTTTAGGCCGGGTGCGGTGGCTCACGCCTGTAATCCTAGCACTCTGGGAGGCCGAGGCGGGCGGATTGCTCAAGGTCGGGAGTTCGAAACCAGCCTGAGCGAGACCGGCCGTCTCTACTAAAAATAGAAAGAAATTAATTGACCAACTAAAAGTATATATACAAAAAAAAAAAATTAGCCGGGCATGGTGGCACATGCCTGTAGTCCCAGCTACTCGGGAGGCTGAGGCAGGAGGATCGCTCGAGCCCAGGAGTTTGAGGTTGCTGTGAGCTAGGCTGACGCCACGGCACTCACTCTAGCCTGGGCAACAAAAGTGAGACTCTGTCTCAAAAAAATAAATAAAAAATAAATAAATAAAAATAAAAAATTTTAAAAAATAGGTTAAAATGATAAATTTTACATATGAACATTTTACCACATTAAAAAAAAGGAAACAAATATTAGATAACGTCGATATTAATTAAATATTCATGCTAGGTACATGGATGTTTATTATATTCTTTTCCATATGTTTTATGTATTTGAAATTTTTTTATTAAAAACACAAGGCAACAAAGACTGCTTTGAGAGCATTCTAGAACTACAAGCCAGTAGAAACTCAGTTTCCATTACTAAAACATAACAAGACTGGGCATTCATGGTTCTTATTCTTAGCAAGGACTCTAGTCCCTTAAACAGCATGCTAATTTAAAAATAAAAAATAAACAATAAAAATGATCAATCAACTAAAATCTCTCATACATTAAAAACTACTAAAACTGGGGCCAGGTGCAGTGGCTCAGGCCTGTAATTTCAGCCCTCTGGGAGGCTTGAGGCCAGGAGTTCAAGACCAGCCTTGGCAACATAGTAAGACTCCATCTCTACAAAAAATTTAAAAATAATAATTTAAAAAGTAAAAATAAAAACTACTAATAATGATAGGAAACAAGACTAATTATCTGATAGAATGATGAATGAAATATATAAAAAGAGTCTATCAAAAAGGAAATGAAAGTGATCCTTAAATATACGAAAAGATATGCAAATTTTCTCATTTTAGGAAAAATGCAAACAAAAACTACACTGAAACATCAGATTAGAAAACATTCCAGGCCCGGCGCAGTGGCTCATGCCTGTAATCCTAGCACTCTGGGAGGCCGAGGCGGGAGGATTGCTCAAGGTCAGGATTCGAAACCAGCCTGAGCAAGAGCGAGGACCCCGTCCTCTACTATAAATTAGAAGACAATAATTGGCCAAGTGATATATATATAAAAAATTAGCCGGCATGTGGCGCATGCCTGTAGTCCCAGTACCCGGAGGCTGAGGCCAGAAGGATCACTGGAGCCAGGAGTTTGGAGGTTCTGTGAGCTAGACGCCACGGCACTCACTCTAGCCTGGTGGCAACAAAGCGAGACTCGTTTATATAAAAAAAAAAAAAAAAAAAAAAGAAAGAAAGAAAGAAAGGAAAGAAAAGAAAGAAAAGATGAAAGAGAAAGAAATGAAAGAAGAAGAAAAAAGAAAGAAAGAGAAGAAGAAAAGAAGAAAGAAGATGAAGAAAGAGGCAGGAAAGAAGAGGAAAGATTTTTAAGATATATATATATATATAATCATCCAAAGTTTACACAACGTATCTTTGATTTTATTATATTTAATATGTGATCTGTATAATTTTCTTAAATGATACAACCTCTGTGGAAGAAAACTTGGCAATTATCTAGCAAAATTACATATGTATTTACTTTTTTTTAGACATAAGTCATCGCTCTTGCAGGGTAGAGTGCCGTGACGTCAGCCTAGCTCACGCAACCTCAACTCCTGGCCTCCAAGCGAATCCGCCTACCTCAGTCCTCCGCAAGTAGCTGGAACTGACAGCATGATGCCACCATGTCCAGCTAATTCCTTGTCTATACATTTATTTTCGCCAATAATTTCTTTCGTTATTTTATAGAGAACGGGTCTCACTTTGCTCAGGCTGGTTTCGAAGTCCTGACCTTGAGCAATTCTCTTGTCTCAGCCTCCCAGAGTGCTAGGATTATAGGCCTGAGCCATTGCGCCCAGCCATGTATTTACTTTTTGATGCAGCAATCCCACTCCTAGGAATCTATATCAAAGATAATGCTGGCAAAAATACTAAAAGATATATGTACAAAGCTATTCTTTGAGCACTACTTGTAATACCAAGACTGGAAATAACTCCCATGCCCATCAATAAGGAAATGGTTGAATAAATATGGCATGCACATCCAGTACTACACACAGCTGTAAAGAGCAATAAGAACAACCTCTACATACTAATGTGGAATAATCTACAAAATATATTGCTAAGTGAAACCACACTACAGAGCAGTTTTTTTTGTATCACTATTTTTTGTATAAGATGAGAGAGATAATAGGATATATGTACATACTCACAGAAAAAAATGATAGGCCAGGCACAATGGCTCACACCTGTAATCCTAGTACTCTGGGAGACCAAGGTGGGAGGATTGCTTGAGCTCAGGAGGTTAAGACCAACCTGAGCAAGAGCAAGACCCTGTCTCTACTAAAATGAGAAAAACTTAGCCAGGCATGGTGTCACATGCCTATAGACCCAGCTACCCAGAAGTCTGAGGCAAGAGAATTGCTTGAGCCCAGTTTTGAGGTTGCAGTGAGCTACGATGATGCCATGGCACTCTAACATGGGCAAGAGTGAGATTATTGCCTCAAAAAAAATTAATATTTTTTAAAATTAACAACAGAAAAAAGTTTAAAAGTATTAAAATTGGTTATGTATATGGAGGAGAACTAGTATCAGTTTGAAAGTAGGAATCTTATGATGTGGGAAGTATGTAGATACTTTATACAATTTATAAACAACTAAATAGAAAGAAAACAATCCAAAAATTGTAAAGAAGCTAAAACATATGAGCCTAACTGTTGGTGGCAAAACCACAAAGAAGAGTCCTTTAAATCATTTTAAAATTCAATACTCTGGGCCAGGCATGGTGGCAGCACTTTGGGAGGCCAAGGCAAGAGGATTGCTTGAGGCCAGGAGTGCGAGACCAGAGTGGGCAACACAGCGAGACCCTATCTTTACAAAAAAATTTTTTTTCATTAGTTGGCATGATGGTACCTGTGGTCCTACCTACTTAAGAGGCAGGAGGATTGCCTGAGCCCAGAATTTGGAGCTTACAGTGAGCTATGATCACATCAATGTGTTCCAGCCTGGCCAGGTGCGGTGGCTCACGCCTGTAATCCTAGCACTCTGGGAGGCCAAGGCGGGTGGATTCCTTGAGGTCAGGAGTTCGAGACCAGCCTGAGCAAGAGCGAGATCCCATCTCTACTATAAATAGAAAGAAGTTAACTGGCCAACTAATATATATAGAAAAAATTAGCTGGGCACAGTGGCACATGCCTGTAGTCCCAGCTACTTGGGAGGCTGAGGCAGAAGGATCGCTTGAGCCCAGGAGTTTGAGGTTGCTGTGAGCTAGGCTGACGCCATGGCACTCTAGCCCAGGCAACAGAGCGAGACTCTGTCTTAAAACAAAACAAAATTAAAAAAAGCAATGAAAATCAACTATTTCAAAATTCTGACATTAACCAAATACACAATCTAAAAAGCATCTATTCAAGATAAGCTATTGAGCCTTGGTTAGAACAGTATGGTGTGGCATTTTAAATTGGAGCTATTCCCTTATCTCTACCCTCTCCAGCTCAAAAAGAAAATTTTAGAATTGAAAAAATAAATAACCAAATTAAAAGAGAAACCTCTATGGATAAGCTCAATAGCAGAATGAAGCAAACAGAGGAAAAAATGAGTAAAATTGAAGACAGAACTATAGAAAACACCTATTCCAGAAAACAGATCGAGGGGTAGGTGCAGTGGCCCATGACTATAATCCCAGCACTTTGGGAGGCCCAGGTGGGAGCACTGCTTGAGGCCAGGAGTTCCAGATCAGCCTGGGCAACACAGCAAGATCCTGTCTCTATAAAAAAACTTTTTTTAAAATTTAGCCAGGCAATGTGGCACACATCCGTAGTCCTAGCTACTTGGGAGGCTGAGGCAGAAGGATCACTTCAGCCCAGGTGTTCGAAGTTACAAGGAGCTATGATTGCACCACTGCACTCTAGCCTAAGGGACAGAGAGAGATCCTATCTCAATAAAGAAAAACGGGAGAAAAAAAGTGAAACAAATGAAAAGAGCCTTATGGACCTGTAGAACATTAGTTTCATCAAAGTTCTAGAAGAAGAGGCAAAAAGGGCAGGGCTAAAAAATTATTTGAAAAAATAATGACTAAAAATTTTCCAAACTTAGCAAAGGACATAAGCCTATAGACTCAAGAAGCTGAGAAAACTCCAAACAAGACAGACCCAAGGAAATCCATGTGAAGATATACACTACAGTCAAACTTCTGAAAACTAAAGACAAAGGGGGGGAAAAAAACCTTGAAATTAACAAGAGAGAAACATCTCTTTTAAAGAGGGGAGTGGGGAGTTGGAGAGTGTCCAACGACAGCAGATTAGAAACCATGGAGGCCAGAAGAAAGTAGCACAATATTTTTCAAGAGCTGAAAGAATGAACTTGCAGCCCAGAATTCTATATCCAGCAAAAACATCCTTCAATAAAGAATGGGGAAATTGACACATTCTCTGATCAAAGGAAATTAAGAAAATGTGTCACTAGTAGACCTACCCTAAAAAAAATAACTAAAAGAGATTCTCTAAATAGAAATAACAAAAAAAGAACTCTTGGAAATTAGGGAAGAATAAATGACAAAAGAAGTAGTAGTAAAAATATTGAAGAATATAATGTATTTTCCTTCTTTTAAGTTTCCTTAATTATATATGACAGTTTAAGCAAAAATTTTAATAATCATGTGGTTATCCAAGTATATAGAGAAAATATTTAAGATATATTTTAAAATATTTAAATAATATTTTAAAAATAAAAATATTTAAAATTATAAATAACAGAGGGTAAAGGGATGTGAACGTAGGTACGATTTCTATGCTTCACTCAAAAGTAACAAAATAATGATTGTGGTAAGTTATGTATATATAATGTAATACCTAAAGCAACAACTAATAAGCTATACAAAGTGATACATTCAAAAACACTATAGACAAATCAAAATGGAATTCTTAAAAAATGTTCAAGTTATCCACAGGAAAGTAGCGGGAAAAAACAGAAAATAGATAAAAGGGCAAACTTGAACCCTAACATATCAATAATTACATTAAGTGTAAATGGTATAAATACACCAATTTTTAAAATGACTATATGCTGTTATAAGAAACTTACTTCAACTGTAACAATACAGCCATGTTCAAAATTAAAGGAAGAAAAAGATGTACCATGCAAATATTAATCAAAGAAATCAGGAATTGGTAAATCAACACAGACAGAAAACAGATCAATTACTTCTAGAGCCTGGGTGAAACAGGAAACCACTGCTAATGGTTTATTTTGGGGGGTAATGATGGTCTGGAATTAGATAGCCGTGATGGTTGCAAAACTTTGTGACTATAACATACTAAAAACCATTAAATTATGCACTCAAAAAGGGTGGATTTTATGGTATTGAATTATAGCTCAGAAAAATTACACTTCAATAAAGTTGTTTTTGAAAAAACAAAACCCCAACAGTAAAAATAAACTTTATTAATTAAAAACAAACCAATTAATAATGAGCCAAAGACATGAAGAGGTATTTCATCAAGGAGGATGTACAGATGCCAAGTAGGCATATGTAAAGATATTAAACATCACTAGCCATTAGGGAAATGCAAATTAAGGCCATGATGAGTTGTCACTACACTCCTATCAGAAAGGCTTAAATAAAAATAATGACAATACCAAATGAGAGTAAGGATGTGGAGAAACTAAATCTTTCATACATTGTTGGTGAGAATGTAAAATGGTACAGCCACTCTGGAAAGTAACTTTCCAGTTTCTTTACTAAACATAATCTAGCAATCATGCTCCTGGGCATTTAACCCGCAAAAATAAATTGTTTATAGCAACTTACTTATAATAGCCAAAAACTGAAGATGGAGATAACCAAAATGTACTACAACAGGTGAACAGTTAAGTAAACTGTAATATATCCACGGAATACCATTCAGCAATAAAAAGGAACAAACTATCAATATACACAAGAACTTGGATGGATCTCAAGGGCATTATTTTGAGTGGAAAAACCCAGTATCAAAAAGTCATATAATGTGTGATTCTATTTATATAAAATTCTTTAAATGACAAAACTACAGAGAGAGAGAACAGACTAATAGTTTCCGGTGGTTAGGGAAGGTAAGAAAAGAGAGACAGGTGTAGGAGCTCTTTGTAGTGATGGAATAGTTCTGTATCTTGACTGAGGTTGTGGTTATAGGAATCTACACATCTGACAAAATGACAGAACTACACACAGTTTATAACAATATCAACTTCCTGGATTTTCTAATGTATAAAAGTTATATGAGATGTAACTAATAGGAGAAACTTGGTAAAGAGAATATAGGACCTGCTAGTAAGTACCTACCATCTTTGCAACTTTCTTTGAATCCATAATTATTTCAAAATAATTAGAAAGTAACTATCAAAATTTAAATGTTAAAGTCTGTTCATAATTGTTATTTATTTCTTCAGCAAACATTATTAGTAGCCCCTAGCACCAGGTTCTTTGCTAGGTGCAGGAGATGGCAATAAAAAACCACTCAAAACTTCAAAAAGCTTCAAGTTCAGTGGTAGAAGGGTAACTCAGACAATATAATAAATAACATAGGCAAGTAATATCATTCTGTACTCCAGAGAATAAATTCTGCTCAGTAGGACCAATACCTGCATCAAGCTGCTGCTCCCCGTTCATATCCACAGCATATGAGCTATCTCCTTCCAACACAAAGAAAGGACTACGATTCTGTCACAATCTGAAGATTACTTGCAGGTTTCAAGCATCTGTTCAATGGGCATCCAAGGATCCAAATGAAAGTGCTGAAAAATCAAAAAAAATACATCAACAGCCTGAAGTGCAAGAGTGTTTACTCATAAAAGTAAAACTCTTGGCTGAGTTGAGAGATGTGATAAAAACAAAAACAAACAGAATCAATGGGATAAGAGGAAAAAACTAACATCATTTTTCATTTTTTTAAGAGATGGAGGTCTTACTGTGTTGCCCAGGCTGGCCTCAACATTCCTGCCTCAGCCTCCTGAGTACAGGAGAGACTACAAGTACACACGCTACACCTGGTGCACACACACCTATCTTTACTAATTTTGAAAATTCTGTCTATGTTTGTGTGTGTGCACACACTCGTGTGTGTAGAAAGTAAGCGCTATCAAGATCTTGATAAGGAATCTAAAAAATCATAACAAATTCACATATACATGCACCATTACCCTGTAAACTTAAGATTACCATACTTAACCATAATTCCTATCCACAAAAACCTCAATTCCTAATAGTTTCCTGGGAGGGCAGAGTTAGCTTTCAATGGTCTGCCTTACTCAATGAATATGGGTCAGGATACAGTATATTACTTTATTTAATTTTCCATTTCATCTATTTAGAATATTATGCAGAACCAAATATATCAACTATATTAGTCAACAATTATATTAACTTAAAAAAAATCTCCAAATAAGCTCTGAACCCATTTACTCTTTATTAGGATATAAATCACATACTAAAATTTCTCATTTTAAGTATACAAATTACTAATTTTTAGTAAATTTACAGAGTTGTGGAACCATCACCATATTGTGGAACCATCACCAATTTAATTTTAGAATATTTCCATCACCCTCAAAAGAAACCTCATGCCTCCTCACAGTTCCTCCCCATTCCACCCCTAAGCCCAAGCAACCACTAATATGGTTTCTATCTTTAGAGATTTTGCCTTTCCTGGACATTTCACATAAAAGGAATCATACAATTTGGTCTTCTGTGTCTGGTTTATTTCACTTAGCATATTTTTGAGGTTCATCCATGTTACAGCATGAATTAATCTTTTTTTCTTTCTTTACATATCTATAAAACAATCTAAGTAAGGCATTATTTTAATATATGCCAAATAGATTAGAAAGAATAAATGAAAGAGGGAAAGGAAATGCTATAGGAAGGCATGGCATAAACCAACCACAAGGGCAACAATACAGAAAACTACAGAAGTGCGATTAGGTACCCTCTTTCATTTACAGGTGGGAGGACTGCTTGAGTCCAGAAGTTCAAGACCAACTGGACAACACCGTGAGATCCTGCCTCTACAAAAAATTAAAAGATTAGCAAGGCATGGTGGCAAGTGCCTATATAGTCCTAGCTACTCCAGGCAGGAGGCAGGAGGATCACTTCAGCCCAGACATTCAAAGTTACAGTGAGTGAGCTATGATTGTGCCACTGCACTCTAGTCTGGTAAAAGAGCAAGACCCTGTTGAAAAAAAAGAAAAGAAAGGAAAAGAGGAAAGAAATAGAGGGAGAGAGTATGAGAGAAAGAAAGAAAAGAAACTTGAGAGTGACATTTAAAGCCTCTAAATGTGCTCTTCCCTCAGTTTACTTTGCTACCCCAAACCCAAAACATCCAAACTGTGAAACTGATGTTTTATCAAATACCAGCTCACTACCATCCACTATTTTAGGGAATTAGGGGTAAAGCAATCAAGAGAGGCATGAGCTCTGCTTTCATGAAGCTTATTTTCAACTGGGGAAAGACAAATTAAGCCAACAATTTAAAAAAATTATTTAAAGTGCTATGAAGAAAAAATACTAGGTGCTATGACAACCTAAAGGCAGGTCTAACCTAAACTGAGAGGTCACTGACAGTGTCCCTGAGAAAACGATATTCAAGCTGAAACTAAAGGGGAAACAAGTTACCAAAAAAAGAGGATAAAAGAAAGAATATGTATATACAAAGGCTCTAAGGTGGAAAGGAAGTGAAGGCCACTGTGGCTGGAGCATGTGAACCAATACTGGTACAGAACAGATTGGATGGGAAAAGAAGGAATAATAGGAGCTATGAATTACTAAGGATTTTACTATGTGTTGGGCACTGTTCTAAGCATGGAAACATATTAACCCACTTAAGAGCCCCAACAACTCCACGAAGTAACCATGATCATCATGAGGACACAGGTACAGAATAATTACCTGACCTGCCTGGGGGGCCCACAGCTAATAAGTAACAGAACTAGGTTTTGTTTTTGTTTCTTTTGTTTTTGAGACAGAGTCTCACTGTTTTGCTCGGGCTAGAGTGCCATGGCGTCAGCCTAGCTCACAGCAACCTCAAACTCCTGGGCTCAAGCGATCCTCCTGCCTCAGCCTGGTAGCTAGGACTACAGGCATGTGCCACCACACCCAGCTAATTTTTCTATATATTTTTAGTTGTCCAGATAATTTCTTTCTATTTTTAGTAGAGACAGGTCTTACTCTTGCTCAGGCTGGTCTCAAACTCCTGAGCTCAAACAATCCACCTGCCTCGGCCTCCCAGAGTGCTAGGATTACAGGCGTGAGCCACCACGCCCAGCCTTAGAACTAGGTTTTGAACCAAGCAAAATGCCTAAATTCTATGTCCTCAAACACTATATTATATTATCCTACCTTTCTACTGGAAGCAGCTGTGTGGGCTTTTTTAAGCATGAGAAGGAAATGATCAAATCTGTTTTCACAGAGATCACTCTGGAGCCAAACAAAGAAGTCATAAAGGAGTGATAGCAAAGAAAAAAGAAGAGTATAAAACTTCTAAGTGGCAAAAGACAACATAAATGAAATGAGACAAATGAGATGGGTGAAAATATTTGTAACATATAAAAGATAATAGGTCTCAATCTCACTTTGCTGTCTGGAAAAAAAAAGAAAAGAAAAATTATAAAAATAAAAGATAATAGGTTAATTTCCATATGCAAGTTCTTGTAATTCAATAAGGAAAAAAGTAAAAATGGGCAAAATATGTAATTAACCACATTTAAAAAATCAGAGCTAATACTCATAAAATGTGCTCAATCTTAATAGTAATAAAAAAATAAACTTTTTCTTTTTTTGGACACAAAGTCTTAGTCTGTTGCCCAGGTGACAGTAGAGTAGCGTCATTATAACTCACTGCAACCTTGAACTCTTGGGCTTAAGCGATCCTCCTGTCTTAGCCACCTGAGCAGCTGGGTCTATAGGTGTGCACCACCATGCCCAGCTAATTTTTTCTATTTCATTTTTTTAGAAATAGGGTCTCCCTATGTTGCTCAGGCCAGTTGCTGAGGCTCTTGGCCTCAACCAATACTCCCGCCTCAGCTTCCCAAAGTGCTAGCATTATAGGCATGAGCCACCATGCCCAGACATTTTTAATTATATACTTCTTTAAATTTTATTTTACCTTTCAGATTGGTAAAATTTTTGTAACTAAAAATATCTGGTGCTGACAAGGAAGGCAGAAGAATGATAGAACTTGGGAGTATAGACTAGTCTTGAATCCACACACATGTACAAAGCTACATAAGCAAGTAAAGGACAATATTATATATATTAACTTTTTAAAATCCCATGTCCACTGTTTACTTGGCTATGTGCTTTTGAAAAATGAATTTGTGCCAACTGTATAACTTGTAAAAGAAAGATTAACAGTACTGTACCTACCTCACAGGACTGCTATGAGGATTAAGCAAAATAATCCATAAATAGCACTTAGCATAGAGCTGGCTATGTAGTAAATGCTGGGTTAATGTTAACTATTATGCAATGTTGACAGGTCCAATTTCCTTTGGCACTTACTTTACTTATATACTTATTTATTTATTTATGTATTTTATTTTATTTTCTAAGATACAATCTCACTCTGTTGCCTGGCTAGAGTGCAATGACGTCATCATAGCTTACTGCAACTTCAAACTCCTAGGCTCAAGCGATCCACTTGCCTCAGCCTCTCCAGTAGCTGGAACTACAGGCACATGCTACCACAGCCAGCTAATTTTTCTGCTTTCTTTAGAGACAGGGTCTCACTATGTTGCTCAGGCTGGTCATGACTTCCTGGCCTCCAGCAATTCTCCCTCCTCGGCCTCCCAAAGTGCTGGCATTACAGGCATGAGTCACTGAGCCCAGCCCCTATGGCATTAATTTAGTGGATCATCTCTACAAATGAAGTCTTGACACTCCAACATGGGTTTGATGGAACAAAGCCAGTGCTAAACAAATATCTGTTGTTTCACTAGGCTTTAAAGATGTCATCTACTGGCCGGGCGCGGTGGCTCATGCCTGTAATCCTAGCACTCTGGGAGGCCGAGGCGGGCGGATTGCTCAAGGTCAGGAGTTCAAAACCAGCCTGAGCGAGACTGAGACCTCGTCTCTATTAAAAATATAGAAAGAAATTAATTGGCCAACTAATATATATAATATAAAAATCAGCTGGGCATGGTGGCTCATGCCTGTAGTCCCAGCTACTCGGGAGGCTGAGGCAGCAGGATCGCTTGAGCCCAGGAGTTTGAGGTTGCTGTGAGCTAGGCTGACGCCACGGCACTCTAGCCTAGGCAAGAAAGCGAGACTCTGTCTCAAAAAAAAAAAAAAAAAAAAAGATGTCATCTACTGTTCCATGTTCATAAACTTTTGCAACACCCTAGAGTATTTGGTACAGAGAGACACATGGAGCAAATATAATAAGAATAACAAACGAACTTTCAAAGCCAAAAGACATGAGGTGGGAGAAATACAAGTCTTATGTAGTGAAAAACTAAGGCTGTTACATTTTTTCAATCTTACATCATCACTTTGATTTTAGCCAATGAGCAAATGAGTTCATCATCTTAATAGGATCATGAGAAATAAGCTTAAGTCTTGCTGTAGAACATCAGTTAGCTCTCTCTCTCTCTCTCTCTCTCTTTATTGCTAGCTTGCTCTCTTTTTATGTGTGTAAGAAAAGCACAGTAAAATATCCAAGGGCTCAGTATATAAAAATACAATTCACTTTTTACTTATTTTCTTTATTTCCTATTCATATTAAATTGTTGTACTGTCTTCA